AGGTTGCCGCAAACCGATTTCAAATATCTCAAATGGTTGAAAAGTTAAGTGAGGGTGCAAGTTACTTTTCAGCCACCCTGTATATATTACCACCAAGTAAGTCCAATTATCCAGCGACTAGACTGGTGTGGTTGCCGTTATTGACGTTCAGTTTCAGCTGCCAAAACCAAAATTGTCTCAAACAAAAAAGCTATTACACATCTCTTAAAATATTAAGACTATGTGAAATAACGAACAATTCATTTATTTCCATTTAGATATTTTAACACAACTATCTTTGGGAAGTACAACCCGTTCTACAAACATGTTTATTAATATCAATGTAAACATCTTGTTAAAGTAAAATAAAATATTTTTATGTCCCACCTTCACATCCTAGGGCGCTAGGTTCCAGCCCGAAACTGTTTTACATCAGGTCAGTCCTAGTGCGTTACGGCATTTATTTATTTATTTCCCAACGGCTTACACCAGTTTACAAGAATAATTACAATGTTGTGGATGGCAAAAATCATGCAACAGTGAAGTGGTACAGTAAAGTGGCAACAGCAAGAACATAATATAATTGATATATCTTCATAAAATATACAAAATACACGTAAATTAATTAGTAAACTTTATTCCAGAACTAATTCAACACAAAAGATAAAATGTAAACAATAACAATAATAATCTGATTATTTAAGCATATGACAATCCTCCCCCCTATTAAGCTGCTCTTAGTTGGTCGCAGTGTCTCTTAAATAACCGCCCGTCTTCTGATTTAACAAGATACATCACGTTCCCAAGCGGCCTTTCTACTGTTCCTGTTGACCACTTTTCTTCTGACATGTTTGAGTAATTTCTCATCAACACTATTTGTCCTTGTTCTGGATTTATTTTACCAATTTCTGCCTTGAAAATGTCCTGAAAAGTTGTTAGGAGTTTATCAAGTTCCTCTGATGTGTTAGTATCCGCAAGATTTATATCAGCCCAATCCATCTTGACTTCTCGGAGCCATTCACGTCCAAATATTGGGAAACTATTTTTGTACTATCCTTTCATTACATTATTGGCATAGGTAGATTAATTGCATATTTGAAATTAATATTGTATTAATCAAAAAATAATATATATTGAAAACTCAATAGAAAAACCCGATGTTTCATTAGCTTTGTGTTCTATTTAGTTATGCTTTAATTAAAATCTATTCGATTGCTTCAATCAAATGCATCAAACATGTTGATCTAATTAAATGTTGCATGGTAATTAATTATAATTTTCCTATATTAATTCCAAACTAATTCCTTTTTTTATGAACTGAATTAGCAAAAAACTACAATCTATGTCAACCCTTCGGATTAGACTTTTTTGAGACATATTAAAAGGTTTAGAATGTCAATAGACCCTTTTATCTGTTGACCTTTGTTCTCCAACCCAACGTATGAATGCAATGAAGCAGAGTTATTGCTGGGTTTCATGTCTTCCTCAAATATACAATGGTTTCCAATCTGCTAGATAAAACAATAAACGTATTTTGTCAGAAAATTGAACCCCTAAGGGCTACATTGTCGATGAATCAAGTGCAACGGAAGAATGTCTTATATTTAAGTTAGGGTTTTATACTATATAGATAAAGGTATATATTACAAGAGTCATAGCCCCAGTTTACTTTGTAAGAAAACAGCTAAACTGTTCTATTAGATAAGGGAGCCTTTATGCATTTATTTTGGAATCACATTGTCTTATTCGCGGCTTAATTGCATGGATAAAATCCATTTTTTGCAGGTTTTCAACTCTGAACCATGAGGAATTGTTCAACAATCATTACAAAAATTATAAAGATAACTTATGTTGTATAGCTTTTAAAATCATACAAGTAAGATATTTACTCCTTTTTTACTATAGGGCTATGTGGACTTTTAACCCTTGTTAAAAACTCCAGTCACAGAGATAAGGTTTTATTTTACAAGATTAAACTAAGTTGTTCCTAATTAATCTACTCCTTTATTATTATCCTTTTAAAATGTTATGGATCCTAGATCTTGTTGATAATTATTTCAATTTGAAGTTAAACTTGAATATATTTAAGAAGCAAAAACTAATTATTAGTTTTAACTGCTGTAAATTTTTGTGATTTGGACATTTTCCAAATTAATGACAAATTTCATAACATATTTTTGTTTTAAATGTAAATATGAGCTTTATCTTTTGTGATATCGGTATTAGGAACACATCATTTTAGTGTCTAATTTATTCAATTTGGTACTAATTTTTTACAAATTAAAACGCATTACATTAAAAAACGTCTGTAATTTTTGATACAAATAATACGATTCGCCATATGACCGTTTCGTCACCATTTTAAAAGATTAATTTTACATTGGACTGATTCGAATTACCTGAAATAATATTACATTTAATAAAAAATACATACGAGTTTTATAGAGTGTCAGAGGTACAGTATATATTTGGTATTTCGATATTTATAGTTTTTGGACCTATAAATACTTTAAAATACAAAAATGTTACAATTAGTATGTTTAATACTTTTACTTTAATACTTTTATGTTTGAATATTTTCATAAATCACACAAGGCTAACGCACGGTATTTCTTTAAATAAAAGTATTAAGCATATTAATAGTTCGTAATGACTAAAATAATAATTGCATGCGATCTAGTTCTGATAACTCCCGAAAGATGATAATTAAGAAATATCGCTTTAATTAATCAAAGGAATTCATTAGTGACACAAAAGTATTTTATTTCAAATGCTTTACCCTCTCCCATCTTATTACGATTAAGGAATAAAGAAATCGTCTCAGCGTTAAAATAAATCGCTTCAATTATTAATTTCAAAATTGTATTCGCTTTAAAGATTCGTCCTTTGTATTATTAAGTAAGGTATTTCAACTTATTTATACATTAATATTCATCCTTAATAGTATTAAAATCTATTTCTTCATCAGGCTTGTTAGACGTAATGAGTCGTGAACCCTGAGTAAAGTATATTTTACCTTATGATTTTCTCATTCCCCTATGAACACATAACATTATTTCAAACATGTTATGCTGCTCATATTATATAGGATATAGTACGAGTAAGGCATTCGACGAAGGGTATATGCAATACCAATAAAGGCAAGAATGTGGATGATACATTTGTATGATGTGCCAATTTGCGATTTGAAAGCCAATAGATAATCTATGTTAAGAGGCATTTACGTTTGAACGTTCTGTCATAAAATGCATGAAAACTATTTCAACATCACACGTTTTGAGACCAATAACCTTATGAAAATTACCATAAGATTTGATCTGTTGGTGTCATTTATTTACTTGAGTTGTAATTCATTTAAAGTAATTTTAAATTACTTATAAATTTTAAAATCTGTTAAGTCATTTATTTTTCCCAACCATGGTCATAACCCCATGCCCATCAAGCTTTACCAAGACCCTGTAGGCAGACCACTAACAGAGAAATTATTTTTTAGTCAGCGTCAAATAACTTTCGTATGAATCGTGTTAATTAGAGTGGTGAGACGATGCACATAAGATCACATTCCTCCGCTGCTGTCAAATTTGTTAAGCAATGTAAATAATTAATTTACGTTAGATTAATTTATTTATACCACTAGCATCTAGTGGGTTGATCAATGTTTTGGGATAATTTCCTCGCCTTTCCCTACCCGTCATCCTTATTACCACGATCTTTACCTCATTCATCTCCAATCCTAGAAAGCGCTATGGTCACCACAGAGCGTAATTCTTTCCATTGCATCGGCCAGATAAATTGAATTTGATGTACGAGTAAGTCTTCTTACATACAACTGGTTCTGTGTGTAGCTATGAAAATGGGTGGCGTTATAAAATTAAAAAGAAGTTCGATGTGCTGATTTCCGTTTGAATATTCTCGGTTGATTAAGATCATGACACAGATGTGTTAAAGTCATGACAACCACAAGTTGATGTAATTATTGAAGACTACTAATGAAAAAACTGACTGAAATAGAAAATAGACATGTAGCATACAAACTGATGGTGTAAATCCTGATGTAGGTCTTTGTTACGTTGTATTGTACCGCTCACAATACAACAATACAACACAACAGTAGTCCCTGTTGTATTGTACTGGCATACGTTGATCCCCAGATTCAGTCTAATCTGCTCCACAATACTCCTACCTATAAATGTACGGGTACTGCACTTTAGGTTGTTTCTACTCTGTTAACACTGCCTTAAACTTACAATAGACAACCTTTTCTGATATTTTTGCACAATAAACTTCATTCGTATAAGTTAAATATAAGAGGGTTTTACCATAGATAAAACATACTCCCTAGATTTCTTATCCTTATGGAACAGCTGAAAACAATTTTATTGTTATTTTAATACATTTCAATGAAATTGCGACCATACAAAGTAGGTATTTTAAGCCAGGTATGAATGGAGATTAGTGTAGGATGAGTGGTGCGATCTTGTAGTCTTGTTAGTGACTAAGGCTGGCTTATTCCTTAGACACAGCTGTTAATTAATAGCCCATACAGCTAATGGCAACTAGAACCTACAGTTATAGTGGAATCCGAACCACATATTTGCCTTGGAATATACGAATTGGTCTAATTTTCAGGACAGTACTGCGGATAGTCGTAGTACTCACTCGTGCGAACGTTAATCCATACGAGTATAGCATCCACAGTGCATGCCAATAAATATCCACAACTCGTAGGGATGAGAAGTCTACTTACTATGGTTTTACCATGACCTTCACATCCTACGACGTTAGGAACTAGCCAGGAATATAGTGATTCAGGCTAGGCTCAGGGGTTGTAGCATTTGTGATTGGCCGAATTTTAACCTGTAGCCTCGGGGAATGACGCCCCGTGCTCTGCCTGAGACCAGTTTACTCTTATATAATTGGTACTTGAAATTGAATCAGGTGGTTGTTAATCATTATGATATTACCCATACTCTAATAAAACAGGAATATTCATGTACTCAACCTTCAACCTTCTTTTGGGTATGACCTGTTTATTTTCCATTAAACCATTTGTGACACTTAATTTTCAAACTCATTAATTTTTGTTTATATATTTTCACTATATCTTTTATAGTTTCTTGGATCTTCACATTACTGTTTATCAGCACTTTTCGTCAGCCACCTGTTCGTGTATCTCGTGCACTTTGTTGTCTTCTTCCTCTTCTTCCCCTTCCAACTCCCAATGTTCGGCGTCGTCGAAGAAACACTCCTCGTTGACTTTACCAGTTCTGGGTACTAGAGTCTTCAAAATAGTACCTAAAACACACATTATTGTGTATTCATCACTCAATCAATAAATCGTACAAGGCTATAAAAAGAACTAACATTACAGTACATTCGAAAGTTACAGTATCTTTAGTATCCGAAAACATCTTATAAAATATATTTGAAGTCTTTTGAGAAGGTTGTAAACGTGTACTAGCACTAAAGGTACAAAATACTTTAATTAACCATATAGTTAATGACATTTATTAGTTATTAGTTATTTATTATTTATTAATAACATATAGCTCGAGTTATTAGTTAGTATATGTTAGTTGTTAGTTATTATACAGGAAGCTGCCGAAATTCTTAGTTTCATATCAATGCATCCCTGTAAAAAAGGAACCCCCTAATGATTGTGCGAAAGTTTTAATATACTTATTCTTCAAACCTATTCCAATTGTATAGCACAATAACCCCCCTCACAATGACAAACAGTAATTTATCTAGGAAATTGTGTTTTTCATTTAGTTATTTCACAAGAAGGCCTTCTTGGTTACACCTCAAACCCTATCAGTGGTCTTTGAAGGAAAAGGGTGTCACGACACCTATTGTTGTGTGGCGTTTCAATCATTGCAGTAACCTAAAAACATAGCCATTTTCAGTTATGTAATGAAGAACTACTCATTGCTCTTTACTGATCACGGTCCATGCAATGAGGCCGTAACGTTATCACGCCATGTTAGTAATGACACCGTTACAGAGTTCCAGAAGCCCAACTATGTGAAATAATCTTTTGTTTATTTGACATCCTTTTACATGTATTGACTAACCAGTGACTGCACCTCCCACCACAGCGACTACCACACTAACAGCCACGGCCAGCAGCTGATAGCCGGCTTGTTCTGTAGCACTGCGGCCAACGTTGGGCATCAAGTCTACATCAGCTTGCTGAGCATGCTGGACCTCCACGCCGTCCAGTGGCACACGGGCGGGGAAGACTACGTACAGGCTGGAGACACCAGGGAGACATGTATAGTAAAGTGTTGAAGAAAATAGAGTTAAGAGAGTAGGAATATACTTTATAATGGTGTGCAAAGTAGGAGTAGGGAGTACTGGGGTTGGCTTCCGGAACATTAAATATGAAATTTTCAACATAATAGCTTGTCCAAAAGGGGAGGTTTTGTTGAAGTAAAGATTGAAACTTCCACTTACAGGATAATATTTATTTCAAATGCGTCGAAGGACTTGCATGTTAAATGAACGTGTTAAAAATCTCAAATAAAAAGTAATAGTTGTGAAATTACATCTTGAGCTAAGAAATTTTAAATTGCGAAATAGTCAAATCAAATTAAAAATCACTTTATTCTGTTTGATAAATGTACAGGAATACATTATGACTGGTAGGAATAGTAGTCACCTAGCCTATAGGGAAATTCATCCAGGCAATGAGTAACAGTTTGATTATAAAAGCTACTTAACAAGATTTTGAAGCCTATTGATCATTTTGAACAAAGTTTTATCTGTACTTTTATCAGAATATTTCCAGATACGAGTAAGGAATGAGGGATGACGTGTGGTTATAATTTCCACGCCACATGGGACAGGCCCCTGTCTGAGTTACAAATGATGTAGACTTGTATTACATCTCTTCAGTTCATATCTACTGCCGCTGCTCTTGCAGTCATTTATCTTTAGTCTTCTCTGTTTTATATTATTTGCCTGACAGGGTACATATGTTTCTTTCTGCTTTTACATTCATAAAAAAATAACTATTAATATTTTGAATTCAATTATTTATAGTGAGTGATAGCCTTTCTCAGAAGGTTATATGTTAAATAATTATTTGATAAGGTTATCAATATATTTTTTTAGTTTTTGGGGAGTTAATAGTGAAGTGGATCATGACACCAATGCTTGGATGATGTGGTTGCCGCCACTTAAATTGTATTAGTTCTGTAATTATTGTACTGTGCCGGTCCCTTATACATAAAACCATAGATAAAACATACTGTTGCTTAGTCTATGATAAAACGCAAGAGGTCAACAATATCCACATCAAAGCAAAATACATGATTACACCATCATTCATAAACGTTCATAAACTTTGAAAGCCTCGATTTAATACCGAGTTCAAACTTGTTCGTTAATTTATAAAGTGCATTCTGAAGAATTAGAACCACCCAATCCTCCAAAATCAAAACGTCACTGCTGTGGGTGGTGTCTTCTTTTAGTTAGTCTGTAGAGTGATAATACTTACTTGTACCCATAATCCTCTACTGATGCCAAGAATGCCATATAGGCTCCCACCACCGCTGCCAACACTCCCGGCATGCCGTGCAAGTTATGTACACCACATGTGTCATGGACCCCTAGTTTCTCTAGTAGTTTGGGCTGTAAATAAATAAATGAAACTAATCAATTCGAATGTTTTGTCCAACCTATACCTAACGATCATAAACAAAAATGAAATTAGTAAATGGCCCTAAAGGGACTGTATGATATGGATCTCCTAATCTCTTATGGGGCACCTATATCCAACAGTTCGAAATAAAAAGATGTCTAAAAATATCAAGTCTCACATTAAGAAAGTGAAGTCATTATTTGGAGCGAGTTCTCCTAAGTCAGACTTCCTCCACTTCATACCTCTGACTGCCCATGAAAGGTCCGATTTCGGAGGGGGTGTTATCGAAATATTAGTTGGCCTAAATTATTCTCAGATACAAAGATTATATCATGGCAATGTTTGTAAATTTTTGTGATGGAGAAACAGACAGGCGTACACCTGAAGGTTATTGGAATATACTAACACATTTACTCATGTTGTGGTATCCAAAGCCAATGTTTGGCTATCTACTAGATGGAATTCTTGTTTTATCACTTACCTACACAATAAAGGTATACAATAAAGCGTAAATAAGAAGTTCGCCTTATTTAGAATGCAATTTCATTTATATGATTTTATAATTTTTATAAAAAATTTATATTCCCCCTAAAATTTGTCTAGATTATAATTAACAGTTATGTGGGGAAATTGTAACCATCTAGAATATCAACTTAACACTAACATTACAATAGAACACCATACCAATTACCTTTTTAATACAGTTTCGTAAATACACTAACAATTATTAAAACTAAAGCGGTTTGTCCAATACTTTTGATATTTTTTATACTGTTATCCATACTTACAAAGGTTAAATAGTAATATTTACAACAAGATAATTTACTAATGATTCCAGAAATAGATACACAACACACAACAGAGGTGTAATTTTTCACCTGTCATCTCCGTTACAAATGACACCAATCCAAATTACATTTTTCTTCGTCATATGTATACTATATTTTTTTCTCACTTCTTTCTAATTTGGATATAGTACCTTTTAGTAAACTGTTTAGGATTGTAAATAGGTACTTACTTTACTTTCCATCCAAATTCCTTATTCATGACTCTTATTGCTCTATCCCCTATAATCTTTTTTATGTAACGTTTTAAATTATTTATTTATATCAATTAATTATTCAGACGATCAAAATTTAATTTATGATAATTGAAGAATACCTATAAATCTTCTTTCCTAAAGTCAATAAACTAAATAGCTAGATCATTATGGCAAATCATAACAATCACCTTCATTTCTAATGAAAACCGTCTTCAAACACAATTTATTTGCTTATAGAATTGTAGTGTAAAGCAACATCCAAAGTTATTGAGTAGAAATTGATGAGGAAATAAATTTGATGTAAGTGAACCTGCATTTCTACTTTAATTATAAAACTACAACTTCTTTTATTGTAGAGAAATGCAGTTTTCACTTCCTAAATACAATGTGATGGAGCCCAAGTATGGAAGAAAGAGTAGCCCAAGCTATATAAATCTTCGTATAAGTGTATTGCTACTTAAGGGCGGAGATAACAAACTTTATAAACCAAAGTGGATGATCCGCAGACTTTATGGCGTGATGAAAAGTAACTTGACTCCCTATAACATGTAGTATGCTATTCTCGGGTATAACTACTTTTAGGACTGAAAACCGTTTCTTCTAGACGAGTATCGATTCATTTTCCAAATCTATATTGGTTCTGTAAAACAAATCTTTACAGTATATAATACGTATATACGTGTAGTCAACTTGAATTATATTGGGTCATCAATTCAAATTTCATTTAAGTATGATGTATCTTAACATTACAATAATAATGAAGGTTAGGGTACTTGTCATAATGAATTATATTTTTTAAAAACTGCAAATTCTTAGTAAACTATCACGGTAATAAGTTTGTATTGTTAGTGTTTTCACAAAAAAAATTATATCTATTGGTTTTCAACGAGGGAAACGTGTCATAAAAACACGTATGCTTGAAATTTTCAGTAAATAAATGTTATCCAAACCAAATTTACCTTAAAAAACTAATTATGTCTTAAAAGAAAAGCTTAAGTAAAAAAATTATGCTCTTAATAATTCGAATCGATATTTTCTCACTCCTTAAAATGTATTTTTTTGTTTTTACTACAGAATAATACTTTTGCTTACCAAAGTTTGACTTTAACTCCAAAATACCCTTTAAATTTAACCTCCACAATGTTCCTATTTCTTACTAACCTGAATGTACTGGAAGCCTATGACAGATAATACACCGGCAATACTGCCAACCATCATAGCTCCGAAGGGTTGCACCATTAGGTTGGCAGAAGTGCCTATGGCGACACCTCCAGCTAGAGTGGCATTTTGGATGTGCACCTAAAAAAGGAAAATATTTAAACTTAGCTGATTATATAGTTTAAATGTTTAGATGAGAGGTTACAAATAAGCTTAACAACTTGATTGGGGGAGTGTTAGTTTAAGTTTATAAGTAATTGGTTAATTGATTAAAAGAATGCTGCTACCGGTACTTATGATCTGGTCTGCGGAATTTCTCTTACGGAAAATCGCCCTAGGACATTTCACCCAGGTAATTTTGGGAGCGTTTCATAAACTCCAAATTTCACAAACTCCAACGCTTAAAATATTAAATAACCAGAGCGGTTCATAACCTCCAATTTTCATAAGCTCCAAATCTATAACATTCAAATAATCACTGTTTCACAATGTCCAAAATTCACAAACTCCAACGTTAAGATACCAAATAAACAGTGCGGTTCATAATGTCCAAATTTCATAACCTCCAACGGTACAGTCTGAGCCAGAAGTCTCTACAGTGGTTGCCACAGTCAGATAGCAGGCACCGTTCGCCAGCGCTCAACTACTGATTATACGTGCATTTTATGATTGAAGAACATTCAGCTGTGTGACTCAAATATGTGTTAGCACATAATGTGCAAATCAAATTTACATTTTTACATTTTTAATACCTTTATTCAAGCTTTCAGCTGAGTTTCTTAACTGTTCCGTATCTCAATTAAAAAGCCAATTATTACATTACAAATATCGTAAGAGATTTTTTTACCGAAGAAAAATTTTAAAACATATAAATATGTTTTATAAGTATATTTTCTAATAGCTGTTAAAATTTCATAACGATTACATCAGTTGTTTTTTTTGTCATGTGTAAAAATAGCCCTTTGTTAGAAAAGTGCCGAAAACCTTGTACTTTATTCATTCTACCCACTAAAAGGATGAGTTTAAACTACATAAAAAGGTAGAGACTAACATACATAAACGCAAAAATACATTTTTATAAGTAGGATTTAACTTATACATCATATTGTAGGTATACTGGTCACGTTTCAATAAAAGCTCATACTCGAGTATTTACACTTTTTTACTCACAGCAGTCTCGTTTCTCTTTGCAACTTAATGTGGCTAGTTCAATAATGTTAAAGTTTTGACAAGGTGATAATTTATATTTTGATTTGCCTTTTCAGTGGAGAGCTAAGCACTGTATACCTTTTATTTACCAATAAAAATGCGTAATCACAAACAGTGGAGTCTTTGACTGTCGTATAAAATATTAAGGTATGAAGTTGTTGTTGTTGTAACGATTATTGCATATTCTATTTAAAAATAGTGTTCAATGTAAATAATTCAACAAGTTATTAGATAGGTACCTTTTATAGTTTTTAGATTCTATTTAGCAAATTTCCCTATAAGAAAGTACAGTAGCTATTACCGTAGGTGGCATTGTAAGACCTAGGCCCGGGACCGATTTACTTTTTGATTTTGATTTTGTTAGCGTATTATATATATAGATTTCCGTAGTGGTTAATTATTCATGAGATTTACTTTCTGGAGAGAATTTGTAGAATAGTGTTTTATTAACTGTAAGGGTTTCTGTAATATTATTTATAATATGTTACCTTAAATTATCACTTACATTTCATTACACAGTTTAACTTTAACTAGTCTGAATTTCAATTTTTCAGTGAATATAAATTAAAATGTATGCAGCACTTAGCTCGAATTGATTAGGGGTTTAGGTTGGATAAGAAAAAGTACAGTCCAGCAAAAATTTCGCACCACGGCCTTGCTGGCGTTGCAGTCAAGAGGGAAGCTATCGTCAAGAGGAAACACCATACTTTGCAAAAAAATATATAGGCCTATTTTTTGTTTTGGTCAGAGAGGTTCTGCCTGTGGCTAAGTTGTAGCCAATAGTTTAATGCATAAAATAGCCTGTATTTTTTAATTGTTTACAAACAATGTTTCTGTAGATTGCTTAAACATGTAGGGCAATTTAGCATTTTGCAACGTGTAGAAAGAAACTACAATCGTACGCGTGCCGTATGGACTAATGTTTAATTACCTAAGGACAAAATAAAAATTAATTTATCTTTTACTGACTTTAAAAAAAAAAATGCAAAATCGGCATGTAAACTGCGAACTTAATTAGGCCTTTTACCATCACTAACTTTAACAACAAAACCAAGATACCAGAAAACGCCAAATAAAATTTCAACACAAATCACTAATTTCACTAATTAATTATGGATTCAATATCAAATGGAAAACTCCTGCTTTGTTTTTATTTCAAAAACATTATAATGAGATGATATATTCTAAACGTTTCTGTAAACATTTGACGCTTACTTTAGTGTTTAATCAATATTTTGTTTAAAGTGGAATGACCTCAACGGCTACTCTGGAACTAACCTGAGAATTAAACTAAAAAAGTTCGTAGAGATAATATATTTTTTCACTAAAGCAATTACTATGACAAGTTCCAGTGAGCGGGATTTATTAATTTTGTTTGGAGAAGGTTTTAACTAGGTACATTCTGTTTCTCAAAGGAAAAGGGGTTAAAATCATATAGACTAGCATGCATAGTATGAATAAAGTACAGGGAAAACCTATAACAGTAATATTTTGAGGTAGTTTCCTTTTCTTTATATGCTTGTCAATGCTGGAGAAACGTAATTTCGTGATTAGTTTCGACAAATGGGTAATCAAACCCTAACCATGCACTGCAGTGGCAAAAATGTTAGACTAGAGCCGTTGATTAGCTTTTTCAAATATAGATGAATATAAACTCGTTAAATGTTTTAAAATAAAATCCATTGAATATAACATGTAATACTATCTAACAACTAAATGGCTAAAGAGGATGAAGAAGCAAATAAATAGGTATTGTAATGTGGTCTCAACCATGGTCTCAACTTTTAAATAGGCCTATTTCGATAGAATGTAAAGTCAATCGAACTTTTAGCAGGAATTCCACCACATAAACTTAGAATAAGAGTAGTTTCTATTTTTGTTTATATTATTATGACCAGAACCAAATCTAGGGTAAAGTTTAGTCAAAGGGATGCATTTACACTAATTTAGTTTACCTTTACGAAAGGAGTATAAAAGTAGAAATAATAACTGGGCCAGGTCGCTAATTCAGTGGGTTTTACCAAGAACTTAAATTATCTCCACATCCAAATAGGAAACTATGCCTTTTCATATTTCACGAAGACAATTTCCGAAATTACAATCGGGGAAGCATTTGTATCAAAGAATTTTGTTAACTATAGACTACCGGTAAGCATTAAAATGCACAAACATACGCCTGTAAATTAAGTTACCATTCTTCGTAATGTAATGACATATTTGATGTAATATAATGATAATTAAATGCTAGAAACTCAGTTTCTATATCCTGTAAACTGATGCTGAGCCGGCCAAACTCCTAGCGCCAATGCCGCGCCAAGCGATTTTATGCCTATTTTTAATCGCTTAAAAATGATACAAGCAGGCTCCGTATCAAAAAAAGCTTCAAATAAAAAATAAAATTCATACTTTGATCTAAAACTTTGCCGCAGAAATTTTTTTCCTGACCAAAAAATAAAAAATTTCCTCACTTACTACATTTTTCATGTTTTTTATGGTGTTAAAAAACAATCATCTGTTTTAATTTGCCTAAATAAATTATAAAAATTATGTTAAGGTAAAAACTAGCTACATAGTAATGAGCACTGGTTTTTCCAGAAAAATAATATATCAATTTGAAATTTGTATGTTAACAAATAAGTGTAGCAGAGCAGGTTGAGTGAATGTATGTTTGTGTAAAACAGAGAGGTTCATTCGGCCCGTACGCCTCGGTATCCGGCCAATTCGATTGACTTACGGCAGAGACTGTACCGTTGGAGCTTATGAAACTTGGAGGTTATGAACTGCTCTGTTTATTTGATATTTAAAAGTTGGAGTTTGTGAAATTTGGACATTGTGAAACTGTGCTTATTTGAAAGTTATAGTTTTGGAGTTTATGAAGTTTGGAGGTTATGAAACGCACTGTTTATTTAATATTTTAGACGTTGGAGTTTGTGAAATTTGGACATTATGAACCTCACCCGTAATTTTCCTTAAGGAAATTTACTTGTGGTAAGAGGCATAGTACCAGGGCTTGGAACTGGGTACGTTTATGTATTCTTCTAAAGCAATGCCACGTGCTCATTTTGATGAAGTTCACAATATGTTGGGCGTGTTGAACTCCTAAGTATTCTCTTTTTGTCTGTTCCTCAGGTGCATAATGAATATGTTGAACTCTCATGTCAGATTGACACCCCTTTTTAGCTTTTCTATAGTTGGATAGTATATAATTGATGTTTCTGTTAAAAAGAGGGATTAAAAGCCTGGCAGTTGACCAAGTCAAGGGATAAGGATTATGAATGGAGATGTGGAAGCTAGTTACAAGACAAATTACAGCTTTTCAAGTGCCCAAGACAGTAGACGTGCAAAGGACATCTTTTAACGTCTACTAACATACGAGTCTTCCACCAATGCTGCAAGGAAGTGCTTTTCTTGATAGGCAAGAAACCCAAAACATTACATTGTAAAAGAAAAAGCATTCAACAACTTTGAAGTGAAATTAGGCCTAAGTTTGAGTTTTATCTTGACCCGAAACTAAATTCTTGTTAGGAAATATATGTAATAAACAATGGTATAAATACCTTCTACTATTAAAGTGATCTTTATTAGTCTATATATAGGCTTCTGCAGTTTCATTCCAGAGGAAACTTCCTCAGGCTTCGAATTACATCAAATCAGTTTCCTTAATGCAATACCGCAGGAGTTGAAGCCCATTTGAGCAACAAACAAATACAAAGTTCAAAAGGGACTTTTTTTTAAGATAAAAATACTTTTCATCTTGTACTTGCCATGTTGAACTTGTGCTTGCGGCTGGTGAGCGCCGAAAGAGCGTACGCCACGACACATGATGCGGCCAATGAGAGGTAGGTGTTGATGACAGCACGTTGTTGAGCAGCTCCGTCCAGACCCGCGCTGTTGAAGCTGGGCCAGCAAACCCACAGGAATACGGAACCTGGAATAAAGTCAGAATCTAACTGAATATTTATAATGATGGGAGTACGGGAACTGACATAAGAGGAGGATTGGCAATACATAACCGGATACTACACTGCCACATACTGTACCGAGCACAAAGTAAGGATTTAGTATACTTCTTAATACGAAAACTTGCATAAGCTAATGATAAGATCAGAATCTTGCCTGTGTAACCTACAACGTTATAAGTATAACCTACAAGCTATGAGCAATGGCACTGTTTATTAATCCCTAAGTCAAAAATAATCTAGCAGGAGAACGAAAACAGGCTTGAAGCTAAGGAATGCCTTTCTGAATACAAATAACCAGGAAACTTCAACATTCGTAAATATTTTCACCCTTAAGGAAAAATTACCTAATTACTGTCTCCAATAATGCAAAACAAGCATAAAATTCTAGCCACTTTCTCTAGTTTATGATTAAGGTAATTTTATTTGGTTAACGAGGCTTCAAATGGCTGAAAACCCAGAAACAAACTGTAAATAAAAAGCTACCTCTACAATACACCGGACAAAACTAACAATCAGTATTGTCTTCATCTGAACCTTAGGATGAGAAATCTACTAAGGGTGTGTTTTATCTATGGTAGTAGCTACTTTGTCTAATCACTTCGACAGCTCGATAACGTTAGCAATCATCTGCACAGCTGTTGTTCTACTACTTTCACAGAGTAATTGTAAACAATGAAACAAAACCACCAAAATTCTCCCGTAAATGAATTAGGCTTTTACATTGTTTGAACAACTCCATTTGGAAACATCCCAATCAATTGATGCTACAATTTTCAGAAGCAAAATAAAGCTTTGCTGAATTGGGTGCAATTTTTCACCAACTGTTGTCTTACCAATGTTTACCCACTCGAACAGCGACGGTTAAAAATACGAATACATTGTTACCTCTTTTAATTTTTAACAAGAGATGTATAAAATAACAGTGTCAGGCGGATTGTGATTTTATCTCTCAATACCCCTTGGCGCTTTTGGACGTATTAAATAGGTTGTTAGCATAATCCTGTTAAATTCGTAATGTATGTGTATTATGTACTTGGAAACTCTTTATCTGGTCAAGTATGTTAAGTTTACATACTTACATGTCATAGCGTATTCGGCTTAATAGCTTATTATTAGTTTCTTCCGTATACATTAGTATATAACTGTTAATTTCGCATATTTAAAGTCCTTTTAATTAAAATTTGCTCTTAATGTTATTTGTTTTACTCACAATCAACTGTTTTTAATAATATAGCCTACTATTTATACACTATCCACCATCGTCAACACTTTGTGGTGTTGGTGATGCGATAAACAATATTCAGTAAGACTTCATTGTTAACTTATTCATTTATTCGACTACTTTAAATATATTTAAAAAATACTTTCGAAGAAAGCTGGATGTGTGTTATGCATACCGTATGTTTTGTGGTGACATTTTGTACATCACGTGTTCATACGGTTTTCGGCTATATTATACAAATTATTATGACAATTTTTAGTCACTCGTATTAGTCATAGTTAGGTGCATATATTTGAATATTCACTCTATGTTAGCAATTACAAAAGCACTACATATCAATATGTATTTTTTAAATTTTTATCGGTCACCATATTGACCAACACTGAACCAAAAGCATATTAATAGTTGGAACGTTGTTCACGGAACAAAAGCAAAACTAGCTTTTGAGTCCAAGTTAGTCCATTTTGCTTTAAATTAGGTCTATCTTTCACTAATGTGAATGATTACAGAACCTTCTGTTTTCTTTGACAAACACTCTAAATAATCTAGGGTCCGTCCCAACTTGATTTTCCTAGAGTTGCATGTATAAATATCTAGATTCAATCTCTTGCAAAAGTACGAAGCCTTTATTATAACAGCAAGAATCCAAAACTATAGCATTTACCGATCATGGCGAACATGTCTGAGTTGTATGATGATCCCTCAAAGGAGGAATGGTGTTTAGGTTTCCCCAAGACCAGGCTGACCGCTAGGCCGAAGTAGGCTCCAAACGCATGGACGAAAATCGAGTCTCCAACATCTGTCACCTAGAACATTCAATGTCAAACTTTTACTATCAATTTAAATTAAAATACTAAATGTCAATATCTATTAGAAGGAGTGTTTGGAGATATTTTCCATCGCAATAAAAAATAAAATCCTCAGGACGTTTCAGGATCTGGAATCTAAACTTGTCTTCAGGCGATAAAGTACCTAAAACATAACACAAGTATTACACGAACCAAGTTGCTACTCGAAAATCACGTAACAAAAAGGTCCGCATGGTAGACAAAACCAAAAGCAAAAATCCTTGAAGAAAAAAACAGGAGGAATATCTATAAAACCAATATAACATTGATTCTACGAACTTTAGCTATAAGCAGAGAAAGTGGAAGTAATTTTATTTTATTCAACATTAATTTCGAATCTATTCGTTCTCGTACATGTTTTTCAATTCATGGCACAGTTATTTTATTTCCACAATTAACAAACATCCAAATATAGTCAAAACATCTATGCATGTTATGTTATGTGTTTAATTTTGTTCAGTCATTAAATTTGACCTAAATTAATATGTTATTAGGTTTTATGTTGATTACAAAACTATCTAATTTTCTCCAATTAAAACACACAGCAAAGCTTTAACTCGGCGAAGACCTTTAAGGTATTCTAAAAGTGGTCAGAGTGTAGAACTGAGTCAAAGTAGAGGACTTAATTAGGGCGAACTATTTCCCCGTACTAACTCTGAATAACGTACAAAGTTAGCTACGGTGGATGATCAAAGGGCTTGATTATTTTATGCAACTGAAGTTATGTTTTAGTAGTACCAAAATTGATGTTTCCATATTATACAAAGGACTAGAGAATTCGGTTTTACTTATGTAGAATATTATCTTTTTTTCTAATGAGTAATTACTTTAAAAACAAAAAATCTGTACCATAAGTTAATTTTCTTTAAATGTTGTCATAAAAATAATAAAATGCCTCAACTTTTCTTCATCTCAACTCCTCGTAGTGTCAGGTTTTTGTGCAACAGAGACGGTCTATGGTTCGATCCCACCATATCCACAAACATCTGATGGGTAATTTTCGTTTTCGATATAATGTATTTGAAACCGATTCATACAAAATGCCACTGGCATAGCACAAATGATAATATTAGTTATATTACCTGCAGTTTGTGATGTGCGAAGTATTCGTTCACGGAGGATAGTATGCATTGCAGTATTCCCATGATGATCAGCTGTAAGGGCGTCGTCTTGCCCAGAACAGCGCCCATGGAAATGAGGCAAGATGCTGCAGTGACGTCAGCACGGAGCAAGCTACAACATGGGAGGGGAATCTGTGATTTTTGGAGGGAAAAGTCTTATTGAGATAAACTCGAGATTTTTTAGACAGGTCTCTAGAAATTGGAACTGTAATAATAGCATTTTCTCACAGATTTGGTGGAAGGGAGTTGGCAAAGGGAGAAATGTGGTAGTGGGAGATTTAGTGGTAATGGAAGTATATAAATGTGAAAAAAGGTAAAATTAAGTTTATTTGAGACAATTGGCCCCATTAGTAAAAACTGAATACTATCGTTACCTAATATTAAAAAATACATAATGGATTCTGTTTTCTGTTTATGTTTTCCAGAAAAGACAAAGAATACGAAAATGTAGTGAATGAATCGCCTATGATGAAAACTCTGGAAAGGTTTGATATGTAAAATGCTTAAAGGAACTTTTTTAAATTTGTTTACCAATGTGAATAGCTTGTTCGTACATCATAGCTTATTTAGCCCAGTTAAATTACTTGTTACAAGCACACTAATCTTTTAAGTTTGATACTCTACGGTCATTTGGAAAAAGTTCAAGACCTACCAAAGCTCACTCTCTAAGTTGAGTCTAGAAACCATTATTAAGTAGGCAATTACTTGCAACTTACCTTACTCAAGACACACCTTTTAAATGCAAGCTAATCAGGAGAAGCCTCGTGTGATTGAAACTGACAATGTACTCTTTTATCTATTTTTTCCATTTGAGGTTTGCAAAAATTATGCATGAAACCATGAACAATTTAATAATCACAACTGTAGTGATAATAAGGGTTAGATTAAAGAAGTGAACTTGATCCACATTACCTCTTCAGTGTTACAGGGATTGTTGAGCGATCCCGCCCCAGCTCGAAGACCCCGTCGGTGAAGAGCGACCATTGCACGATGACGGCAGACAGCAGAAAGTTGAATCCTACAGAACTGAATCCGTACTTGCGGAGGAACGTCATCAGGAACCCGAAACCAATGAAGACCATCACGTGGACATCCTGAAACACTGATCGTGCTACTTTAGTCACCTGATAAGCCTCAATCGCTATTGTCTCTATTCAAATATTTAAGTATGTGAAAAATGGCAACATCCATGATTGATGAGTGGGTCAATAAAGGATCTAGATGCTATTTCTCAATGCACTATTGACACTGTCAAACGATGTTGACAAAAGGTCGAAGAAGATTGGCATTGTGACCACTGTTTTTACCTTTTATGTGCAAAAAGTACTTTCGTAAAATTCAAATGGCGATAACAAATCTATAAGTTAGTTTAGAGTCATCAGAAAATAATTTAAAGGAGGTTTAATTTATGTCTTTATGTAAAATTTGTCAAATACGTTTCCCAGCGCATTGTAGACTAGAGTAAATACCAAAGTAAAAGTGTATTACATATTTTGTAATTTATTTCTACATAATAAATACTTTTAATTGTCTATGGTTAACAGAAGGGTAAGAACGAATACAAAGTTGTATATGAATAAAAAAGTTGTATAGTTTAAAGTTTTTGTAAAACCACAAAATAACTATACCCTTATTAATAATTAAACTCAATTCCTCCAATCAGGATAGTTAAACTATGTGTTGTTTGATCTAATTTACTGTTTGGTTGAATAAAACAAATAACTTCTTCGATTTTAAAACTAAGTAACTGTAACCAATGCATGTAAATATTGTATGTTTTCTCTATTTCAATGTAAACCAATAAATACATACGTCTTAACGCACTAACTAAAAAGATTGAATCCTGCTTGTGGTGGATCCATGAGCCGATATAAAAACAGAAATCCGATATAAGGAAAGGTTGTCTATACAGGGCCGGACTTACCTATGGGCGAAGGGGGCGAACGCCCGGGGCCCCCGAGCCAAGGGGGGCCCCGACAGGGGCCCCCTTTGTACAGTAGTTTTTATCATTAACTTCGAAAATTGATCAGACACTTACCAAATGGGCTTCTTTTGTAACAGCTTTATTTTCATTTTCGCTATCCTATGTTCAAGGCTATTGTTAGGTGCATTTTAAGGCATTACTAGGAATGAAATTCTTGACCCTAAGGGACTTTTTCTCAGAGTTGCACTGGCCCCACGCTTAGGCCTGGTTTACACAAGCATATGTGCTAGGCTGTGACGGACAAGTTTCAGTTTCAATGAAGCCGCTCGCCCGAACGTACGGCCGCGGCGAATGAGTTGAAGGGGGTCCCGCGCTTGGGGCAAAAATACAATAAATATGAAAACTCTTGTCCCAACGTAGAACGTAACTTGTAAAATTGTGTTGTTTTAAATGGAGATTCACTGGTGTTCAAATACTTTAAAAAATATAAATATTGCTCCCTTTATGTTTTATTAAATGTTTTTCTTTTCTTTTACCTCCAAGTATATACCAATCAGGATTTTAAGGGGTAGAAGTATATTATCCGTCCAATTTAAAGGTTTTGTAAAATAGTAATTAATTAAGTTATGCGTCAAAATTTTGATCTCCAATTTAGTCTTTGGAGTCAAATTCAAAATAAGCGAATAAGCAGAAGCAGCTGCAACAGTAAATGATAATGAGCTGATAAGGGATCCTGTCTAGTCCTCTCTGTCTCACGCACGCGCATACACACACATAAAATGCCTTATCGCCTATCCAAAACAATTTAAATCACTTTACTCCCATAGTTTGTCCTTTGAGACTAGAGGTCACGTCAAGTTGGTTGAAATTGTCTTACGTTGATTCAATGCTATGTTTGTGTTGTATTAATTGATATTGGATCCATTTAAACATCTTTCAGTTTCTCATATAAATAGTTAGCTTGTGAGTGTTTATTAGACATTGCAAGATTTTGCTCGTCAATAAAAAACTCAACCTTGAAAGTCCTCAATGGTGATTTTCATGCTAGGACTTTAACATATTATAAAAACGAGAATGCTATAGGTACCAAAAACATTATGAAAATAAAATAATCACACCTATATTGTAGTAATATTGAAAAACCATACAAATCGTCGGCGATAATCGATAATTTAAATACGTAATAAACAAAAATATATTAATACTTCTAATCCAAATATATTATGGTAGCCTACCATGCTACCATACCAAATATGCCGTCACTGGTACTACAATGCAATACATTTTTATTTTTGTGTATAAAATTAAAATATGTAAAAATAGTTTTATTTTAGGAACAATTTTTTATATAGAACTTATTGCTTATTTGGCCTTAAATTGCTCTATTTGAAGCCTAAATTTAGATATTTTCCCGGGGGGACCCCCCCCCAATCTCACTGGAGGACCCCCCCCCCGAACTGAAATCCTAGGGCCCCATTGGAAAATTTGCCCGGGGCCCCTGTAGTCCTGAGTCCGGCCCTGTGTCTATAACAAATATAATCCTAGGTACCTAGATTACTTAGTTTTTTTTTTTTTTTTTTTTTTTAGCTCATTTTATTCCAAAATTCTCGTTCGCCCGAAACAAACAGATGAAAAGAACACAGAAACAAACGTAGAAAAGACAAAGAGAAAAATATTAATTTGTCTAAAAGTTCAAAAACTATTATCAACGATTAAAAATATGTACATAGAGCACCAAAGGAAGCATAGTTTGCTGCCGATATGTTTTCGACACTGGTTCATCAGCTGTTAATCACCAAATGTGGCGGGAATCTCAGGGGAACAGCTGATTGGTTGTCGTCGATGTTAACCTCCCTAGGCTCCACAATATTGCGAAACAAGTATTGCCAACTCACCGGATTAAATATCTCCCCTACAAACGGTAAACTCACGAGGATATCATTGGAGGTAAATATTTACGAATTCAACAACAAACATTCAACCATATTTTTATTAGCTGGAATTTCTTTCCGTTGTCAAACTGTTTTCTGTGGGTATATTTTTATTGTTACAAACACGAATATTTACTGTAAATTCTACTTGGAAATAGTCCTCACAGTATACGACGCATTTAATGCAATCACACAGTTATTTGTAAAGGCGATTCAGGACTTTGACTTTGAAACATTGCTTTAGTTCGAAGATGTAAGACCAAATGTGATTCACCGAAACTATTGAATGGGTTCACATTCAGTTGCACATAAGTTCGTATTAACTTCTAAGAATATGTTCTTAGAAGTAACTTGGAGCGTAGCCCGACAAAGTTTAATATTGAAACTTGGAGCTTGTTTCTCATTTTGAATATCAATGTGTGAAAGTCTTGTTCATTAGTTACAGACATTGACAAATTAAACCATAACAAAAGACAATGCTAACAACAACAAAACGAAAGATTTTTATCACCGATTAAACAACATTCTCTCTTGTTGGACCTAATTTACAATGGTTTCTTTAATTAATAGCACAAAGGAATACTTGGTCTTAATCAATAACAAAGCAGCACTGATTTGTTGTACTCTATTGTACAGTCTAAAGGTCGATTCACACACATCAGTTCCGGAACGTCACAGTCCAGTCACTTCAGGCACGTCACAGTTAACAACAATATTCTTTAATGGATTTTCTATAGCGCTATCTACACTCATCGGTTGCAGTCTCGTCAGTCGCTCTGCCGGCAACCGTCAGTCAATTTCAGATTTCTTTCCACCGATATTTTTGGATTGTTCGGATGCCTGACGGACCTGTTTGAGGTTTGAAAATATCGTTATTTTATTTAAATGGTTGACTTTATATTTAGAGTACTGTTTGTAACAATCAACAAGATGGACAATGAAAATATGATAGAATATAGGTTTATAATTTACAATTTTTGACTGTAAATTAATGTAAACATTAAAGACGGAAGACTGACTGAAACCAACTGACGGACAGTTGACTGAGAAATTGCGGATATCTGAGACTGAACTGTAACTGGACTGTAACGGAACTGTGACTGAACTGATATGTGTGAATCGACCTTAACTCCATCCATACTCATCATTCACCTACATGCGTCGCTGTCTTGAAGAATTTATTGATTGATTACCATATACACAATAATTACGAGTAAACACCAATAATTTATATAGGCCGACGAAATTGTGTTGTGGGCAAGCGTAGTACCTAAGCGTCGCATACTAACTGGTGTTATACTTACTGGAATACTTCCTGAACATAAGCCTGACAGTTGTTAGGGAAAGTGGCTCCCTCATATTCACGACCTCTCATTAGTTATTTGTTTTTTTTTCAACGCTTTTTACTTTTTCAACGTTATCTAACATTTTATAACCACTGTCATAACCTCGTAGCGGAACAGTATTTTCATCAGCACAATCAGAAAACTTGCGTACTGCTTGTATACTTACTGGAATACTTCCTGAACGTGTCCTTAGCCTCCTCATTGTTGGAAAAGGTGGCATCAGCAGCTGCAGACTTATCGTAGCGGAGCAGCACACACGCCAGCACGATCAGCACGGCTTGGAAACTCAGCAGCGCCAGCACTGTACGTTTACCCACACCCGCCATTTCAACCTGTCATACAAACAATATTGACTAACTATTCAGTAAACATTCATTTACAATTAATTATATGTTTGTAAGCTGGAATACCAAGAAACATATTTCAATATTCAAAAAATATATTTTTTAAGATAATTTGTAATTCTATTGGATGTAGAGAAATCCGTCCGATATCTTTTGGAAGTCTAATCAGTTTAAAGGATATATTTTGCAAGATGATATCAACAAGGAACAAATAAATAAAATCGGTCGATTCCCTAAAAAATCATTTAAACTAAATTTAAACTTTATCAGATCATACGAAAAGTACATTTACTACTGTTGCTACTTACTGTTAGACATTTATTTGTTTAATTTTTAATTAAAAAGTTGTATTTTTGTTTTAACAGTACTGTTGTACTTGTTTTAAACTGTAAATCTCGAAGGTTTAATGTAACTGTTGTTCATATTGACAAAAGAATCAAACTATCTAAAACACAAACCTCTTAATAATAACAATTATCGTCCGAAATCGTTCTAAATTTATTTACTTCTCCTCTAAGTTAAAATTTCAAACTATATATATTGGCTTTACAGTAGGCAAACAATATAGTTATTAATTACAGTTTGACTTTCAACATCTGCCCTGTTTCATAAGCTGTAGTGATAGAAATGTTTCGACATGAAAATACCAATTGAGTCAACATGGTTAAAACGCAAACCATCTCCAGTCATTGTAGTTTTATGTGGATTTTTGCAATTCTAGGCACAGTTAAGCTAATCTAATCGAAATATACTATGAATTTAGATAAAATAATAAAATAACTATCGCTTTTTAACCCACAACACCTTCTTAGAAAAAATTAAATAAAAATAAATGATAATGCCGCAATCCCTAGGTCTAGCCTGAAGTATTGTGAAAAACAGTTCCATGCTTGTGACTACCGTCAAGAGAAAACAGGATTAGGTTGTGATGAATTAAACATGAAAAATAAATCAGATCAAAAAATTGTGGTTAAAGTTCAATAAATTAGTATTGCATTCAATTTTTTGTTTAAGCTTTAAGTTTAGAAAATCCCTTGATCTATTCTAACCTCGTTTTTAAATATTTTATTACACTTTTTTGCAAATGCTCTATCAACCCGATTGAGCCTAGGCCTATGTCTTCTAAAAAAATAATATATATTCGATTTGATAACGGCAGTAATCAGAATTCGAGGTATCCTAAAACGAGAAGTAACGTGGTTCTTTAAACTCCACTACGACGTAATAAAAGTGATATGATCCACCCTGCAAGAAGTAGATTAACTAGAACATTTTGACAAACCAAAAAAGATACTGTATATGATTTCATTATTACCATTCTTACTTCGCCACCAACACTGAACTCTGTTAGTTACTGAAACGTGTGTCAAAATTTCACATTTAATACAGAGTGATTGTCATCCTAATAAAAGCCTTTAGCGAACTTCCCTATGGAAGAAGCTATTAGGATTGCCCTCAGAACATTGAAAGCCAGTTGAGCGGAGCGAACACGTTTCGTGGTTTTTCATTAAAGAAATGAGTTAAAACAACGTTTATTGATGAAGTAAAACTTGTATAACTGTTATATAATAAATAATAAAAACAAACAATAATTGTACTCTTTCATAAAGCAACAAACCCTAAGTACTTGTTAAATCGAATATTTTTTTTAATAGGAGTTAAATACGAGTATAACTTGTTTAGGGAAATATTATTGTAAAAATCCAATCAAACAAATTGAAATTCGCTTAGTCGGGTTATCTATGGCGGAGGTATTTATTGATGCTGATCAATAGATGAAAATAACAAAACAAAATATCTAATTCCGGTCGCCCAAATCAACTTATTTAGATTCCATTCGAGCAAAACATTTTCCTGATCAGGTGATATGTATGTATGAGTCTTCTGTGCAACTGAAACTTTTAAAATCTCTTCCTGGTGAAGCTACTTAATATACATTCGAATTGCTGATTCCATTAGGTTATTGGCTGGGTAGTTATAATGCAAAGGTTCTTTTTACATATTCAGAATGAAAATTGCATCTTGAAATTTGTTTTTAAATTGCTTGTCATGTTGGTACGATTTTGGTATTGAGAAATCATCTCGTTTTACACATTTTTTTACTCAAACAAATAATTTAAACCAAGAAAAACTATTGCTAAATGGAAATTAGAGATTTTGGCAAGCATATGAACGCTAATTTAGATGGCAATGTCGTCACTATTATAATAAACCACTGTCTACATGAATGTAATACTAGTATTCAAACTCTTATATATTTCTATGACTTGGATTTATTCCCACAAATATCCGTCGAAAACAATTAAGTTATTCAAATTTTTAACATGTCAGTTGTCTATTTAAAATGAGTGCCATAGGCTATACAAGTTTGAATATATCAATTCTAAATTGATCTTAGCTAAGTCAATCTTATGCTCGGTAACCGTATGTTTATTAGAAACATAATAATAATATTATTATTTCTCAGATCATGTTTTTAAACAAAACACAAACAATATCCAATAGGTAGTATCCATAGTAACGGTAAAAAATATTTAGTATTTGCAGTTTAAACTCTTTCTCTTAAAATTATTTTTTACAAATATACCCAATTTCAATTTCCCACAATCCTATGACATTTTTATTTGAGATATTGTATGGAAATCGTTTCAAAATGTCAGAAAATGGAGCAAGCTGATGGTTTTGGAAGGTTTAGGTATATTATTCCAAATAATGAATATTATGTTTGTATTTATAATTAAAGCCGCTCTACAATAACACATACAGCCCTCAGGTATCATACATAATTTTTTTTATTATTAAAGTATTTGAACATATCGAAAAGAAAACAAGTTGTTGAATTAAAACCGGTTTTCCAGTTAATATTCTACTAGGTGAAACCCGTCGAAACCGACGGTTTACATTCAAGCCCCATTTCATTTAGTGTTAAACCACGTCAAACCCAAATAACATGCATTAATAGGAAAATAAGGTTTTTTGTTATTTACAAAAAATACTAAAAGAGATACGAAGTAAGTGTCAATCACAAAGTTGTTAGGAATTAAAAAAACCTATAAAATGATGTGCCACTTGACATATGTCGCTATATGAAAATTTTGAACAATGACCATTTGCAAATTTTAAAAAATATTTTTATTTTTATTTTTATTATTTGTCTCAAATTACAGTAAAGCTAATTTCATAACGAGTAAGAAAATTCAACCGCAGAAGGGCTAAATGCGTTGGTATAGGAAACACAGAGTATTAGAAAAATATAGATTTAAAAAAACTGCCACCATTTTGAAACGGAAAAAAGAAAATTAATTTCTGTTTTCGCCAAATGTTTGTCTAATAAATACTTTTAAAATTATTTACAACATGACATATGATATTATTTGATAATTCCGAGATTCGAACTAGTGAACCTCAGTTTTTGGCACACCCTGTATTGGAAAAAATATTTTTACGTTATTCCTTGGAGTTGATTAAGCGGGAAATAATTTTATTTCATCCTTGTACGTTAAGCCGTTTTTCCGTAATTAATTTGAGACACCTCTCGTGGGACACCCTGTATATATGTGTCCGTTAGCATGATAACTCGAGCAAAAATGATCCGATTTTAATGACATTTGGTACAAACGTGTAAACCTACATTTATTCGAAAAGTTCGCGAACCAGCATGATTGGATTATAGGAACGGGGGTTTATGGGGGGTTTTGTGGGGTAAAAATAGGCTTTTCCCATTTTTGACCCTACAAACACAAAATTTCGCAATTTCTTTCCAAACCATTTTGTAGCGCTTAAAAAACAAATAATGTAGTATATTAAAGCGTTATTGTGCGCCTAATAGTAACGGAAAAAATTTAAAAAAATTGTAAATTTAAATTCCCATGTTATTCTTACGGATAATAAGTCAACTGTTGTAGTTTGCTTGTTTATGAACATATTTTGATCGAATTTGGAAAATACATTAATTTCTTACTAAACTATTAACATTTTACAAACCCCCCCCCCCTTTTATCCTCACTGTTGTAGCAAAACTGAGTACTCGTTAAACTAATTATATTTAAATAGGGAATAAATGTGATATTTTTAAGGAAGAATTTTAGTGTAAATCCTATCAGACTAATGGAAATTCGCTTAGTCTGCAGGTTTGCTGCGGCGAGAATATTTTAATATATAAGATTGCATGTGTTATTTGGTAAGATTCTGCAGAACCTATGGCATAACTTTACCAGCAGCAACTGTGGTTTTAAATTTTAAGTACCCTTTATTGAATGAAGTGAGAGGCAATTAACGCTTGAAATGAATTCTAAAGAGACTAACGAGGCTCTTATCGAAGAACCCAAAGGAATTCCTTGACTCTTGTTTTCATTTAAGAGGCGTCACAACTCTTATATTTTGAAAGCGTGTATCGTCCATAAAGTGTATGAATAAAAAGCTACCCGTATATTTTTGAGTAGTAGTATTTATTACTCTTTACTCTTAAGGACCATTTTTTGTAGATTTCAAGATTTTTACTGTTGATTTATTTATATATAACGTGTTGTTGACTACTTTGAAGTTAAAATCCTACCCTCTTAAGGGTGATGTCCACATTTTAATACTAGGAATAAAGGGGAAATCTACATCCCTTATGTTGGACTAGAACAAACTAAATCTTATTATGAGGTCCTGGGACTTAAATGTCTAAATAAACTCTCCAAGGAAGTGCTCTTAATAACCATCAAAGCCTTCAAAAATTAAATTCTTCAGTGGCTGACTGTGCAGTGTGCACCCTTTTTATGGGCTGGGACAATTTTTGGATGTTGAACCAAAGAAATTTTAATCTCGTCATATTTTCACTATACTATACAGTATTGTGCGTTCTTTCTTTAAGTTATACCGTAATCCTCGCTGGGCAATCTAAATGGCCTTTGTTTCTTTGTTAATGCCTAAATTTTTTATGCACCGTATTTATTTCAGACTTGTGTTTTTGAAGCATGTAATCCACTTTTTGGCGTGTCCATATGCATACGTGTCTACCGGAATAAAACATTGATTCTTTAAAGGAATTAATTATAAGTGTTAAAATTTAAATTCTTACCCTTTACTGTAATGACTTTAAGCATAAATTTTAAATATATCGTTTAAAACAATATTATGTTCCCCCAAAATTCCCTATTTGAAGACCCATAGTTCCAATATAAAAAATTTTGCTATCATACATTAATATTTAGTACATTTTTATACAAAACTAGTATTTGGTATTACATATTTTTGTGACTTATTATATAATTTTTTCTAGCAGGTACCTGGTGGATTAGGCAACCCTTCTCGAACGCACGCGCACTCACCAACATGGGCACAATTGTACCTACCCTATCGCCGCCCATGACTCATAATGCCGGTGTACTAAAAAAAATTTGAATTTGAATGTTTGTTTTTTTACAAGATTTGCCATGTTATATGAACATAAATAAAAGTTTGGAGAAAATTTCCAAACACGATATTATTATAATTATTTTAGGAGGAAATATAAAAACGGGTTTGCAGTTAAGTACAATTTATTCAGTAAAGTTGAACTTGTTTCATGGTAAAAAAAGTACCAAAAACCTGTACATAAATTCAAAGGTATAGTTAAATCGGTACAGTATTTGTGAAAATAGGTGGCATAAAAAGTAACAGTTCAAAAGAATGTGCGAAAAATAAGTTAAAATAAGCTATATTAAATGCTAAAACAATGATTGTTAAAAATCGAATCGATTAGAATGGGTTTCTTTAGTCATGCAAATAGGACCAAACGGATTTTCCTTTCTTACAGTGATGAATTCAAATAAATGTAACAATAACTGAAAACATATTTAACTTTAAAGTCTATGTAAATTTATTTTGACCATTTCTAAGGTAAATAAATATGTATATTGACTTTTCACCAGACAACAATTCATTCATATTTAAATATGTATAATTATTTTTTTGTCTACAAGGTATTTTTCTAAAACGTCAATATACTACACAAGATTAAAGTTTCCAACAACTTACAACGCTAACCATATATTTGTTAATACCCTCTGATAAACTTAAGTAAAAAATAAACATACACACTTCACCTGAAACCTTTAAGATCCCAAGTCACTCACAAAACAAATCTCTGTAACATTCCTTCAGCCTAAAGTAAAACAGAAGAGGACTAAACTAATTAACGGCAATTAATTAAAGCACACCTCAACAAAAGGATCTCATTACCTGGAGGAAGCGATGTAATTCTCTTGACACTTGAACGATGACAACTGACAACGGAGTGTGCCAGCCGAGATGGAACACTCTGGCGACTTAATTGGTCACATCTATTCTAATTAATTGTTTATCCGGCCCAGCTCCTTGTCACAGCTTCTTTGGTTAGTTCCTTTGTCTGGAACTCAAGTACAACTTCACGACTCTGCAAGAGTTGTTTCTTGGAAATTTTTTATAAGTTTTTAATACGAGTGGAATTTATTAGTTGAAATATGAAAAGGCTTTTCAGGAGAAGTGATCCAAAACCTAAAAGTTTTTTTTCTGGATTTGGCAAGGATCGACTCGGTTTTTCTCGCACTTAAGTCCGAGACGGTATCTAATGAGTGCAACACAGTTATTTCTAGTAAAGGAATGAATTAGGTCCTTACCTACTCCTTAGTGAGATTAGGGAGGATTAGCGTGGGGGAGCGAGCTGGTCTAGTGGTAGAGCGCGGGTCTTCGGTGCCTGAGGTCCCGGGTTAAAACCCCGCCAAATCACCAATGGATTTAATCTAAGTGATAATGCTGCAACCGCTATGTCTAGCTTGAAGTATTGTGAAAAACAATCCCGGGCTCGTGGCTAGCATCCTAAGACAAAAAAAAAGAAGAAAAAACCCCTTAGTGAGATTATTATGAGATTATTACTATGGTGTTTGAATATGTATGTCCATTGGTTAGCAATTCAGACTACCGTGTGAGAGGATGTAGGAGAAACATATAGCCGCATAATCAGATACAAAAGATACAAACATTTGTTATACCGAATTTCCAATAAAGCGAATAAGCATTTACATTAGTCATGGTAAGACCTATAGTCCAATCATGCTCGTTCGCAAACTTGTTTCAGTTGTCTCTAGGTATTTCCATGACACCTACGGCAATAACTTCTTCCACTAGTGGGTAAATTCGCTGATAAGTTAGTAGTAGCTTTTAGTTTCGTTACTAGAACTAAACCTGATTTCTTATTGTAAAATGTGGTAACACCTACTTTGCCGATCGTGCAAACGTTGACTAAATGTTTATCTCTCAGTTTACAGTGTTTTCCCTTCCCCGCTATGATTATTAGTCTAGACTAAACTGCAAACTATCTACAACAAATCAACTTTTATCCAGGCTCTATTATAGTATGGCTAGACAGAAATAAACCTTTAAATATATTGCCTTTAGTTCTTCAACAACAAATAGAAGTGAAGTAAAGTTATGTATTAGTATAATACGTAGGATTAATCATAACTTTTAGATACTCCTTTGATATAATACGCTTCTTTAGAAGGATCTCTTGAGACTGAACAGAGAAAAGAGACTTCCTCAAAAGGGAGGTTCTTCTTAATTTAGCCATTTATTCATTTAAGATAAGAGAGACAGTAATAACACTTACAAGCTAGAAGTAAGTCTTTGCTTATTCTTTTTGATGTTCAGTCGTCCTCGACTATTCCTTAACTCTCAGAGGATTCTGAGGGAAGTGTCTATTTCGAATTTTTCTTCTAAATCCTAATCATGAACTATTTATTTACCAATTTTTTTTAAATCATACTGTTTCAATAAAACAAAATTAACTGCCATAACTAAGATTGTTCCTTTAGCTTGCAGAGACATTTTCGGAAGTATTCGTTTAAGGACTCGTTAGAATTCAATTTGGGTATTTATTTGGCAAAGATATTTCCAACAAAACAATTCAGCTTTGGATAACAAAACTATCATCGTTCATTAGAAACATTTTCAATCAGCGTTGTGCGTGGTTCTAGTATGTTACGTGTTATAGGGAGTCAAGTTGCTCTTCATCGCGCCATCAAGTCGGATCAACCACTTTATGGTTTATAAAGTTTGTTAACTTCACCCTTAGGAAGCGAGATACTTACATGAAGATTTATAGAGCTTGGGCTACTCATGTTTCCACACTTTGGTTGTGTCATAATGTATTACAGTAGAAAACTGTCTATCCCTAAAATAAAGGTTGTAGGTATTTATTTAAAAGTTGAATTTCCTTTTTCTTTCTATTATTTCAGAATGTTATGTAAATTCATAAACTAAATTAATTTCTGTGTCCCGACAACATGCCTTTGAGTTTGAATGTTGAATCCTACTATAATATTATAAATGAGAAAGTTTGGATGTATGGATATATGGATGTATGGATGTATGTTTGTGACAAGTGAACGCGAAAAATACTGGTCGGATTGGGCTGAAATTTGGCATGATGATAGCTGACATTCCCGATTAACATATAGGCATATTCTTATTTCAAAAATCCTTTCGGGCTCCGCCCCAGTGGCTCTGGAGTTTCCCATGTTAACCTAATGAGAAATGGAATTATTGAATCTTAACAGCTGTTTCAATTAAACAAGTTGGTCCTGTTCTATGATGTTCAATACCATTAAAGTTACAAGGATTACCAACAGGGTGCAGCACTATTATTTCTTTTACATTTATGACAACAGCTAATTTGCAACCAAAAGGTGAGTGAGCGTAGCGAACGAACTTCAACCTGGAGGCGAGTTAGCGAAGCGAACGAGCTAAACTGAAGGCAAGTGAGCGCAGCGAACGAGCTAAACTGAAGGCAAGTGAGCGTAGCGAACGAGCTCCAACCTAAAGGTGAGTGAGCGTAGCGAACGAGCTCCAACCTAAAGGTGAGTGAGCGTAGCGAACAAACTTCAACAAGGACGTGATTGAGCCATGCGAACGAGATAATCTTGAAAATTAAGAAGTTAAACGGGGCAAAGCCCGAGGGTTACAGCTAGTGTTAAATAATGTTGAATGTTAAATAATGTTGAATGTTTTATTTGCGTTAGGGAGGTGTACCTTTTATTGCAGAAATTGTGGAGGCTAAAGATTTTTATATCTCGAGAGGCATTCTAGTAATAGTAGTAATAGAAGTGCGAAATAGGTTATCTGCTTGGAAATATGTAACTTTAAAAGGTTAGGTTGCCCTTTAAATATATAAATCTTCAAAAAATAAACAAAGATGACAGCTGTGCAGTACTCACACACATAAGAAAGACCCTCAGATTTCCTATAATATCGACAGTTTCAATGTTTAGAGATTAGTTTTAATGTTTCTTAGCGTTAAGGCATTTTATTAGTAATTTAGTTAATAAATTATAGTATACAAGTATAATGCAATCATTAAAATTTCAATGTCCGAATTGTTACAAGCGAGAAAGAAGAATACAGGTGATGTAGTGATGAAGAATGTAATTCGCATTGGCGTCATTTGTAACAGAGATGACAGGTGAAAGATTACTCATCTGTCATGAGTTGTGTCTCTGTTTTTTTTTTCATGAGTAAATATTTTAATTTACTTTTTCCTACCACTGCATGGAAATCATCACATTGCCACACCTGTAAACAGTACGCAAAATAACTCATTGCCGCTCTAGAGCGGAAATGGATCAATCCCGCTCGCTAATCAGCTGATTTCACAGTTTTCGTTTCTAGACCAACCACAGCCGCGGATCCGGTACGATAGTTGACAACCGGTAGGCAGATAACATAACCTTAAAAAAAGTAAACATAACCTAAATTATATTTTATGTATATCCAAAAAGTGAATCTGTTTGTTATTATAAGTCAATTATGGTGGTAGGAAAAATCTTGTGATTATTACAAGCACAAACAGTCATTGCTGCTCTCGAAATGTCACACTCAGCTAAAGTTTCGTGCAGCCATCTACAACAGTTCTCGAGTAGACCTATACTTTGCTCTCTTCTCGTACTTTGCGCTCTTATTCATTGAAATAAATAGCTATTGTAAACATCTATTGAATTTTACAATTTTAACTGTATTATTGTACTGACTAAAAGGAACGGAGTGCGAAAAAATATGAGAACTGTATACACACATATTTCTGATGATCCAGACTAACTTTATGATCAATCTAAAACTTTTAAAGCGCAATTGAAATGGTGCACAGGTAAAATAGCACATAAGACTATACTTTTATTGTATACTTGTAAATAGTGTATGTTAGTGATAAGAAAAGATGTTCAAAAGTGCCATAAGATTCCACACCCACTTCTTATCAATCATTGACTGTGAATCCCGCAAGTAGATTTCATAATAAGGGTTTTCGTGTTTTGGTTACGTTTGAATGTGCTGATGCTGACTAAAAGGTTTTAAATTAGGTATATTCAGTGTGCGCTTCACTGTTTGGTTTTAAAAACCAGAAAACAAAAAAATATTAGTAGATTAAATCATAACTAACAGTCAACATCAACAACTACTCTAAAATGTACCGTACACAAATTCGTCTTGCTTGTGACAATTCGCTTTGTGACAAAAATGGCCAATCTATAGGAAAACGCATCTACTGCAATATGTTTTATTAGATCTATTCATCGATGGTAAAAAACAAACTTGAATTCGAGTAGAAGCAAGCTTCGGACAGTGGAGAGTTCCAAAGGTCGGTGGATGAATACGTTGAAGGTGAGATCAAAGGGTAGTTTGTCGAACACTAAGCTACTTTCCTCCCCTTTCGTGGAAATCTATTCTTGGACAAATGCGAAGGATTTCTCTACAACACGACGTAATACCTTCAATGATGAAAATGTAAAATTTATGTTGATAGACGGTCAGTAAACAACTACTTTGTAAATATTGTAAATAAATAACCTTTATATATGTATCCTTTGATATGTGTCCTTTGCCATTGACACTTTGGTCTGTTTGGTTACCTAGAAACATTTAAGTATCGTTATTGGGTGTGCTGGCAAATTAAGGGTGACAAAGCACTCACGACTAGATAGGTAATTTGTTTGTTTTTTTTAGTTTTTTTCCTAAGACGCTAGGCACGAGCCCGGAATTGTTTTTCACATTACTGCAGGCTAGACCTTGGGGTTGCGGCATTATTACATACAAAATCCATTGGTAACTTGGCGGGATTTGAACCCGGGACCTCAGGGACTGAAATCCCGCGATCTAACCACTAGACCATCTCGCTCCCCCGCGACTAGATAGTAACAAGAACGGGACTTGAACCGTTCCTTTAAAAGAACCATTAAAATTTCCAATGACGAAATAACACTAAAAACAAGGCTTTTTTATT